GTGTAATGTAATGGGCATTAGTGCTATTCAAAGTATAAATATAAGTTATATTCTTTTATTCTGATAATACCAACTTACAACCATCAAGAAAGCTATTGTTTGAGTTAATATCTTATCAAGAAGTTTCAAAACGGTGAGAATTTAACATTTGGAAATACCCACTTATCCTTAATGTTACTTTTTTCTACATTTTAGGATTATAGTGATAGTAAAATAACAATAACTTCCACCAATTAAGTATGAAATTACTGAACGTACAGGTGGCCAAAATGTTAATAAAATCGAAACAATATTTTAGCATTTTCTGGACATTAATTCGACCCACTTAACATAGTCATTTAAAATCTTAAAACTTCTTCAGATTATTAATAAAAATTATTAGGTCACACTATTCACACAATCATTAAGATTCTTTGTTTTTTAAATAAGTATCTTATGCTCACCATGGCTGCATTTATTTAACCTGTTAAGTGTCACCCTCTTTTTTTTAATAGACATGGAAATGCACATTTCGAACTTAAATGGTTGTAATTCAAGAATGCTTTGGAATATGTAAAATTAAGATTGTAAGATGAAGATTAAGATGTAAAATTGGTCTCATTTTAAAGAAGACATTTGGCAGTTTTTTGTCGAAGTGAAATAAATTAAGAAAGTGACACAGAAAAAAAAGTTATAGAAGTTTTAGTGTATGGCAATGTACAATGTAAAAATAATGAATTATTCATATTTTATATAAAATATATATTTTCAAAAAAAAAAAAAGCCAGAAATCTGAACAAGTTGTGTTTAAAATTTTAAGTTGATATCTCAAAAAATGAGCTTTCAGTAAGATTTTGTTTGGGCGCAGTACCGAACGCTTCCACTGGGGCACAACCAGACTCCATTACTGCCCATAACAGCGCCTCCATTTTCATATGTGTCATACTAGTTTTCATCATTTACACAATTTTCATACAATTTATGAAGTAAAGATCCTATTCAGAAGTAGTATGGGAAGTCTGGCAAATTTTGATATGAACTCAATCTCTAAGAAACATAAAAATAACACTCATGTGCGTTATAGCTTCCTGCCACATCACAAATTGTGAATTTATTATTTTTTTCTTAATATTTAAAACATTTTCAGACCTTTTTTCTAAAATAATTGAATGGATGCAATCTTTTGAACTCTTGGGATGAACAAACTCGGGTTTCTACCTTTTTCATGGTTTTTCATGTTCATTGCTATTTCAAAATAAAGGTCTGAACACACCTTGGGAGTATTAAAATATTCTTGTTTAAAATTGATAAATTATGGCTCCTCTGTAATTTATTTTGAAATGTCACCAAATATGGAAACTACAGATTGTAAGCTTTCAAATGATATATAGTTTGTCAATATTACTTAAGGTCTTTTCTGAGATATTATTTTTTTTAATATATAATGGCAAACATACTGTGAGTCAGTGACAGTTAAGGTTAATCCAGTGTAAACAGTAATATTGTAAAATATTATTAACATTTAAAATAATTGCTTTCTGTTTGAATATATTGTCAAATATAATTTATTCCTGTGATCAAAGCTGAATTTTCAGCATCATTTCTCCAGTCTCCAGTGTCACATGAACCTTCAGAAATCATTCTAATATGATTTGCAAAAATATTTCTGATTTTTATCAATGTTGAAAACAGCTTAATATATTTTTGTGGAAACTAAAACGTTTTGGGCACGAAATTATTTTAATGTTCGCTGTGATCATAGGCTACCCGTCAAAGGTTTAATAGACATAGCCAAATCGCTTTAGTAAGGAGATCGCGCGGATGCTTGAATCGAGACCGTGAACTTTTAACGATTAATCTTGCTGCTCTATAGTGGCGTACGAATTGAATTGCACAAATTTTTCAAAAAAAAGTCACCAGGAAGGACCAGTACCACCCCTAACCCCGCCCCTAAATTTACCTATCCCTGCGGTCAACAAATCTTACACAAAAGTGAGGAAGGCCTAGTACACATTTGCATAGTCACCTCGTAAAAAATACTTACGAATTGCTTTGGTGAAGAAGACCTTACTCCAGTAAATCTAAACATCACAGCTGTGCAAAACGTGATTATTAAACTTTTCCCTATGACACAACAAAGACGGATGGATGTTGTGCTGAAGTTGCAAGGTTTTCCAGGAGTCCTAATTAATTATGCAAGATGAGTCTAATTATGATGCAGTGAATGGATACATGGCAGAAGGTGCAAGGCAGCGAGGCTTAGAGATTTGCATGCTAAGTGGGTGGGGGAGTGACTAATGCATGTTAATGTGTGCCTGGCCGATGTGCTTTCATTTGCCTGCTTGCAGCTGTGCTCTATGATTTCATGAAGGACTAAAAAGTTTATCATGGTTAAAGTGAAAAGAATAGTACGCTAGGCACGAAACAGCACGCAAGACCTTAACAAGTGTGTTGTAAGATAAGAAAGAGAGGACAGTGGATCAGATGCAGTGTTTATAGTGAAAAAGTCTGGATCAAATGGTAAACTAGTTGGTCAGTCTTAGTTTAACTGTATCCACATGTTTTTTGGGGGTTCATGCACCAAAAACTGCTGTTTTTTGTAGCCCTCTATCGGGTCATGGGTCTATACGACCCCAATCGACTTTTACTTCATAAAAATATTCTCAATGGAATAAGATTTTGTGAAGTTTTTATACATTATCTATCTATACACACACACAAATCTGTGCTTGATTCGGTTGTTCTGAAGGTATGTAAAAAATTTTTTACACTTCTGGTCTTGGGGGTCAATATGACCCCACATTGAAATGAATGGGAAATGTGAAAAAAAAAACTAAATATATTTTTTTCATGTGTCAAAAAAAAAAAAAAATCCGGCATAAATCTGAAAATTTTTACACAGAAATGAAGGCCTTGTGCACTAGAGCATAAATGCAATGTATCATAAAAAATAATATTTATGCAAGCTAATGGTGTAGGTGAGGAATTGTGTGGTATATGGATACAAAAGTACTTTATATCTCCAAAAACACAGCATTAATGAATAGATGAGAAGTAAACCAAAAAAAGGATATATTATTTGTATGATTAAAAATGTATAATTTTTTGTTCAATTTTTGGGGTCCCCGAAGCCCACAAGTGTACACAGGAAACGAAGACCATTTGAAGGTTAAGTTGTTATTGGTTAGCCTTGCCAAATCATTATGGAATTAACATTTTCCATACATACATGGGCATAAAAGTATTTAAAGGCGCACTATGCAGGAATTCTGTTTTTGTCAAACAGCGACCCTTAGAGTCGTTGTGGAGGACTTGTATTTAACGTTACTGTTGTAAATACCACTCACAGCCTGATACCCATTTGAAGCTGTTATATTAACGTACAAATCTTGCATAGTGTGCAAATTTTTTGCATTAAATAAGAGATCTGGCGTTAAAATGTGTTTTTGAACTCAAGCTGAGCGCTCGTGTCCGCTGCTATCAGTGTCATGGATACATAGTGCCTCTTGTGGCGACTCAGACTCCCTCTTCAATCTATCGCAGTTGCGAAGACTCTCTATTCAGTCCGGTGAAATCACAAAATAAAATGCAAAAAAACTCTGACACGCTTGGCAAGCGATCTCACACTAGACCATTAAAGCACTCAAACAAAACTTGCGGATCGATGCGTTTATTTACGGGTGGAGCAGCGAGGCTCATTCTCTTTTTCCTAGTCTCTTCCGACCGCGTTTTCTTTGCTTTTTCCATCGTCGAGTATCACGTCTAAAATGTGCGCAAGTGTCTTCGTGCTTCATGTGTTGTGGTTGATGTGTGTGACGTCGTTGCCGTAAAGCATGTCGTAATTCTCGTGAGATTTGTCAGGGGGCGCTCCTCTCAAACTTGCATTGCTGGTTTTACTACCAGGATGATTCGCCCTACTATGAGTTTGCTTACCACTGAAATGACTTTGAAGCTGTTTTATTAAGGTACAATTCTTGCATAGTGTGCCTTTAAGGGAAATTATATTTAAGGGAAAGATGGGTTCTGTGTCAACTTTTTCCACATCAATTGGATCTGCTTCATGATGACCTGTGAAATATGTACTTTGAAGGTCTTAATAAGTTAGTAATGAAGTGCAATTAGTAATTTACACCTCTGGACACATGTTCATCATCTCACAAATAACTATTGTGTTACTTGTTTTGAATTTGGGTTTTTTGGGGCATTTAATCATCATTTTCCAGTCACTTTTACACAGAGAATGCTTTTTCCTGAAAATGCTAGTTATTGCATTGAACTAAAACATACTGACTTAACTCACACAGTGCATAACAACTTATAATTGAATAATTGAAAATATAATTTATATATATATATATATATATATATATACAGTACTTGTGGTGTTCCAGGTCAAAAATGACCACCCTAAAAGTAATTGCGGATGCATGTTAAATGTTAATACCAAATATTAGACTCAATCTTTTATCAACTTGTTTTCTTTCATTGAGCACAGGTTTTGTATTTCTTTTGGGAACTGATTGATTGCAGGCATCACTGATCTGAGCTTATACACCCCAAATTTTGAATGAAATAAATTCACCTCAAAAAGACTGAGATGCATCAGCTGCGATCAATGAGGCCTACGATCAATCCGTTCCAAAAAGAAATACAAAACCTGTATTTGTTTGTATTTCGAACACTAAAATATGATCCCTAACCCTAACAATTTATTATTCAGACAGATAGAGAATTACTTTTGCTTGTGGACTTTATGTTGACTTTGCATTGGAGTACAAAATATGCATCAGATAAGTAAACAAAAAATGTCTTTAAAAATAAAACACTGAAATACTGCTTAGGACCAACATAAAATGCTCCCTTTTAAAAGTGGATATACCTATTATTTTTATTTATTTTACAAGAAAGCTACAAATAGAAACAGGCCACACAATTCACTTCCAGGATTGAAGTCTCTCCATCTACAGTAATCCTCTTCGCCTAGTTTGGTTTACAGCTTGGTTGTTGTTTGTTTCCCACAGATTTTTCTTGAAGTTTTTCCTGAAGTGCAATCAAAACTGTCTGAAAACCGCAGGGAACCCCCGAGACATGAGGAGATTTCAGGTATGGATCATTTATATGTATTTGCAAAATGCTAAAATGTTCTGTTGTTCTGTTTGCAGAGTTTATTCTTTTAAAATCACAGCATCTTTCTTTTATATCCAGTAAAAATATCCAAACATCCTTAGAGCAAGATATATACATTACAAGGAAATTTGCACAAGATAAAGTAAGGATTTGACAGAAAATGTATGTTGAATGTAAGATTGTAAGGAAGCAATTGACAAAAGTCTGCAAATTGAAGAACGCATTACTCTAAAAAAAAAATGCTGTTTTGTTTTAACCCAATTTTGGGTCAAATATAGACAAACCCAGCCATTGGGTTACATTTTTAAATTACATTTTTAACCCAATGGCTGGGTTTGTCCATATTTGACCCAAAATTGGGTTAAAACAACCCAGCATTTTTTAGAGTGTATGTATGCCATATGTCTCTTAGGCACATTTATCTTGTTTTAAAGATATATAAACTGGAAAATAAGACAAATATACCGATGTAAGAATAGGTTTTGTTTGCAGTGGTGGATAAACTGAGATTGTGAGTTTAATATCTCATGAGAAAAATCCGGAAAGTAGTAGAAGCAGGGATCATCAGGAAGGTGCTTCAGGAAGTTGTCAGGATTTGAGTGATGGGCTCCAGATGGAGGAGGTCAGGTTATGTGACCCAGGAAGTGTTCACTGGGGACCTCCTGCATTACTTCCTCACACTTGTCTTTCACTACTGGAGCTGCGTTCTGACATTTCATCCCTCACTCTTCATTTCCCTGCTGTCCCTCCTTATTCGTTTTCTTTGGAGCATCCCTCTCATGTGTTGCCATGCTGTTTTATTGTCTTCTTCAACTCTACAATTGAACCATATTTTGAAATTAAAGGGATACTTCAGGATTTAGCATTAAGCTTTGTATTAGTAGAAAACCTGTAGTATTTTCAAATTACCATGCTTTCCACCCTCATATCCCCCTGAAACGAGAGATGTTTTTTTTTTTTTTGGTCTGGAAAAATCCTCCGATGACGCAAAAATCGTCATTTTGTGTCATCGAAAGATTTTTTGTCCATAGTCTAAAGACTACTGTACAGTCAGTAGTCGGGTCTGTCCCGCATCTCCTCAACCCTCCCACAGAGGGCGATCTCACTCACAGAATGAACACATAGTGTCGGCCATCTTTGTTTGGAAGCTAAGCTAGCAGGCTTTTGTTCTGTGGAGAAAGCTGAAAGCAATCCGCTTTTCACGGACATGTCCGGCCGTCGATGTCCGGGATTCAGCTTTTGCTTTCTGCAGTCGCCATTCATTGTTTACATGAACAGCTTTTGTTTCAATCTAACCGAATTCGTTCCGATTGGTGAATTTGAATGTAGTGTTTACATGAACGCTAAACAAGTGATCGGTTGATGTGCGTTTTAACATTGCTAAGAAAATTCGTGAGAGATACGAGACCGGTGCGTCTCACAGGTGTCGCTCATCGGTAATCAACACCTCGCGCCGTTCTCCCGCGGATCTCACTCGTCCCGCTCGCCACAGTAAACATGATGAACGGCGACTGTAGAACGCAAAAGCCGAATCCCGGACATTTTGGGCGATCTGGAAACACATTTTCGGGCAGACTCATCACGGAGACTCACTAGTTGCCTAGACTTGTTGTTTAACTACTGCGCTCTGTTACCGGTAGGCGTGGCCTCCTAGGGCAGCGAAGCAAATGCATTCTGGGAGTTGTGGTCTTTCATCCACATAAGCCAAAAATACATGTTCTGGCTTTTCTCAGTGTAGAAAGCTTCAAATTCAAAACTAATTTCACATTTCTTCTACATAAATGACCCATTTTAAATACAGACTCATCTTTAAATCAACTTTAAATCAACATCGCAATATGGCTTAGTGCGACAGGGTGCTAATTAATTAAAAATATATAGGGGCTACCGGTTTTAAAGTGAAGCGATGCATAAATACACCTGATATCGTGAGATGCGTGGAAATGAACACAGTGCTGAGCTTTAATCTGAAACCAGCAGCACATGTTTTTATTTGCCAGCAACTCGTATAAATAAAAGCACGATGGGTTACTGTTTGGAAATGAAGAAATTAAGATGTAAATTAGGGTTGTCAAACGATTAATCGCGATTAATCGCATCCAAAATAAAAGTTTGTGTTTGCATAATATATGTGGGTGCACTGTGTATAATTATTTTGTATATATATGAATACGCACATGCATGTTTATTTAAGAAAAAATATTAATTATATATAAAATATTTATATTTATACATAATATAAATCTATATAGAGTATATGCATGAAAATATTTCTTAAATATATACAAGCATGTGTGTGTATTTATATATATAAAATAATTATAAACAGTGCACGCTCGTATATTATGTAAACACAAACTTTTATTTTGGATCCGATTAATCGAGTTTGACGGCCCTAGTGTAAATATAAGTATTGTAATTTTACATACACAGATGCAGTTCCCACTCACACAACGATTCATTTTTTCTCTCAAATATAGCTCAAGTCATCTGGGGAATATTTCTGTATCTTTTTGAAACCACATTTGTCATTAGTATGTGGTTTGAAACCTATTTTAAAATTGGATTTTGGGATTTCTGGCTCAGTTTGAATGGTTGCACATAGGATTCACTCTATTGTTTAATGGTAAGATTTGAATTCTGTTTTCTAGAGATGAAGACAAGAACAGTGAAGGGAAAAAACATGGGGTAAAAGAGTAAGAATGTAGATTATAGGGAGAAGAATACAAAAGGAAGAGAAGAAAAATGATTTCAACAATAAAGAGATGGATGTGAGAGGACTGCAATATTCTGTAATCATCACAGTTGCTGTTATTTGTGTAGTGCTCTTTTTTACAAACGATTCGACAAGTGCTAAAACTATAGATTTTAAATCAACAGTTGTAGCCGTTTCTAAAGATAACGTCAAGGATATCACTGATCGTATTTTGAGATGAATCATACGGAATTGACAGGAAGGTTTTTTTAATCAATATATATATTATATTTATTCCAAACAGGTGGTTCTGTCCACGACGGTCAACGTGGATGGTCCCGTACTAGCCATTTCTGATAATATGTTTGTGCACAACAACTCCAAACACGGACGTCGCGCTCGCAGAATGGATTCAAATGAGACGATGGAGACTAGCATGGAATACGGTGAGATTTAGAAGAAATGCCATTGAGAAAAAGCAAATTCTGTTGCAAGACAGTATCTATATGGCCATCCATCAGTCCTTGCGTGATCATTTCTTGCATTTTTAATCACTTTTTCATTCTCTCTCCACTTCAGCTACTCCCTGTATCAAAGCCATCAGTCCCAGTGAAGGTTGGACTACAGGCGGGGCTATGGTAATTGTGATTGGGGAAAACTTCTTTGACGGTCTGCAAGTGGTGTTCGGGAGCATGTTAGTGTGGAGCGAGGTGTGTATCCAAGCCAGCTTTGACTTCTAATGAGGGAAGCTTTAGTAATATTTGAATAATTGGCTCAATGATTGAGTGCCAAGAATCTCTAACCAAACTTTTCTGTCATTATTCATGCAGCTTATCACTCCTCATGCAATCCGAGTTCAAACTCCTCCTCGACACATCCCAGGGGTTGTAGAAGTTACGCTGTCCTACAAATCTAAGCAGTTCTGTAAAGGAGCTCCAGGGCGCTTCATTTATACAGGTAATATAGAATAATAATAATACATTAAATATACATTGATGCTGGTTGTAAAACACACATTGAAATGGAGAATTGTACGGAGGCGTATTGCATTCACGTGAAGAAAAAAAAATCTACTCTGTTTTTCTGAATTAGCAAGTTAATTATCTCAGAATTACGAGATAATTTTTCACGGATAAAATCTTTGCTCTGTTTTTCTGAATTAATGAGTTAATTTTTCATGGGAAAAAAAGTTTTTGCTCTGTTTTTCTGAATTAACGAGTTAATTTTTCATGGAATTTTTTATTTATTTTTTTGCTGTTTTTCTAAATTAACCCTTTTATTCAGAAAAACAGAGCAAAAACTTTTTTTCTCATGAAACATTAACTCGTTAATTCAGAAAAACAGAGCAAAACTTTTTTTTCTCATAAAAAATGAACTCGTCAATTCAGAAAAACAGAGCAAACATTTTTTTCTCATGAAAAATTAACTCGTTAATTCAGAAAAACAGAGCAAAAACTGTTTTCCATTATAATTTTTCATGGAAAAAAGTTTTTGCTCTGTTTTTTCTGAATTAACAAGTTCATTTTTCATGAGAAAAAAAGTTTTTGCTTTAATTATTTAGTTAATTTTTAATAGAAGTTAATTTTTCGTGGAAATTTTTTAATTATCTCAGAATTACGAGATATTTTTTCATGGAAAAAAGTTTTTGCTCTGTTTTTTCTGAATTAACAAGTTAATTTTTCATGGAAATTTTTGAATTATCTCAGAATTACGAGATAATTTTTCATGGAAAAAAGTTTTTGCTCTGTTTTTCTGAATTAACAAGTTAATTTTTCATGAGAAAAAAAAGTTTTTGCTCTGTTTTTCTGAATTAACGAGTTAATTTTTCATGAGAAAAAAAGTTTTTGCTCTGTTTTTCTGAATTAACGAGTTAATTTTTCATGGAAATTTTTTTTGCTGTTTTTCTAAATTAACTTGTTAATTCAGAAAAATAGAGCAAAAAAAAATTCCATGAAAAATTAACTCGTTAATTCAGAAATACAGAGCAAAAACTTTTTTCCATGAAAAATTATCTCGTAATTCTGAGATAATTAACTTGTTAATTCAGAAAAACAGAGTAGATTTTTTTTTCTTCAAGTGAATGCAATATGCCTCCGTAGAATTGCATATTTAAAGACAAGTATGTTACTGTATGTTAAACACAACACTGCACTTTTTTAATATTTCCGCCCGTTTCAGTCTTGGAGTCTCTACTAATGAGCTGATGAGCTGAATCAGATGTGTTTGGTACAAGTGCTACGTCCCAATTCGCCTACTTATACAATGTCTAAAAAAAATATGCTTTTTTGTGAAGAAACAATATGAGTGTGTAGGCAAGATTTTGGACATATTGCGTCTATAACGGGCAGCTCTGTCGCTTAGTTACGCGCATCTGTCACCGATTAAATGCCCTGTCAATCATCTCGTCACAGTTAAACCCCCCCAAATTTGATTTAATTTAATTTTCTACCGAATCTGAGAGATATGTAGTAGCACGTTGATCTGCCAGTCGTGGGTCTTTTATATGCGGGAGGCTCTCCTCATGTGTATGCATAATGATGCATTTAAAATTTAATGTATCATTATAAAAGTTGAAAAATACAATCTGGATAACATTGAACAAATCTATTTTCATCAGGTCTCATGAAGATGCGTATCTATACCACAAATGTAATTTCTCGTGGCATTTATATGCCAAAAAGTGCGTATTATATGCATGCAAAAAACGTGTATCATATACGCAAAAACTGTTTTTGGCGTATAAACGCCACGAGAAATGACATGCGTGCTATAGATATGAACTTTCATGAGATCGGGCTCTAGATACTAATACTGAATCACTTTTCCTTTTATCTAAACCTCTCAACTAAGCCGTCACTCTGTAATCTGCCATGTTTGTAGTTTTTCCCACACTTTTTATTTGTGTTTGTAGTTCTTATCGAATCCTTATCCAGCACTTTGGATTCTAACCGGAAAAAGACCATCCGGGTATATTGGGAATACCTACTAATTTCAGCATAATACTATTTGGGACACACTAATTCTAATTTCGCATACTATTTAGGATGGACAGTATGCGAATCGTGATGTGGGCTAGGAACCACTGTGTTAAATTACTTTCTTTCTATGTTTGAAGTGCAGAGATAACTAGAAGTCATTTGTAAGTTGACTTCCCCAAGATTGGCACTTTCAGAAAACCAATACATTGGCAGGTTTATTTGAGTGACATGTCAAATCCAACACTATCTCACGACCAATTCGTACGAATTCGACGCATGATTAAAAAGTGGCTAATTCGTACTAATTCGTACGACCTCACTCGTACTAATTCGTACGATTTGTCTAAACCCACGTGATGGTTAGGTTTAGGGGCGGGGTAAGGGGTAGGTCATTCGTACGAATTCATACGAATTGGCCAATTCGTAAAATATGTACGATTTAGCAAAATCGTATTAATTCGTACGAGTGAGGTCGTATGAATTGTTACGAATTAGCCACTTTTTAATCATTCGTCGAATTCGTACGACTTGGTCGTGAGATCGGGTTGGTCAAATCCTGTCTTATCCAATAAAAGTTTTGTGTGAAACTACATATTTAAATGTGGTATAATGCGGGTTGGCGTATTTGGGAAACCTGGTTGGAAACAATCTTGTTAATACTAGTTCTTTTAGACATTCTACAATCTATAAGTAACTTTATTTTGATGCTCCAACAACAGACATTATATACTGACTTTGCAAGTACATGAATCCTAACCTAAAAGTCTACTAATACTCTAATGAGAGACATAGAGATATAGTTAATAGAATGTCTAAAGTGGACTATCAAAATAAAGTGCGGTAACACTTTATTTGAAGGGGTGTGCATAAGACTGACATGACACTGTCATAAACACGAAGGAGTCTTTATGAATGTTTATGACTGTTGTCATTAAGTGTCATTCGGTAAATTATGACTCTTTTAATGCAAAGTTGACATTGTTTAAAATGTCTTTGTTATGACAACTTGACATTAACCAAGAAATTGTAACCTGTCACAAATATGTCATAACAGGTCTAATTATCAAACTTAAAGAAGTTATTTAGCTTTGCATTAACATTACATTACTGTCATATGTGGTTGGTTTTGACTTTGGCCACCAACTGTGTCATGAATATTTTACTTGTCCTCAAGTAAAGTGGAACACATTGTACTAGTTATAAAGATGTCATTAAGGGTTATTACACTGTCAAATGCTTTAACAACAGTGTCATTAATATTTCCCCTTACCTCAAGTAAAGTGGAACACGTTGAACTAGTTATGATTTCTTGGTTAATGTCAATTTGTCATAACAAAGACATTTTAAACAATGTCAACTTTGCATTAAAAGTGTCATGATTTACCGAATGACACTTAATGACAACAGTCATAAACATTCATAAAGACTCCTTCATGTTTATGACAGTGTCATGTTAGTCTTTTGAACACCCCTTCAAATAAAGTGTTACCCAAAGTGCAACCACAGTCACTGAGGAAAAGACTGATACTATCGATCAGGATTCATACATAAATCCCTTACCTGATTCCTCTTCATTAACAAAGGGATTTGTTCAGATTTTCAGGCATTTTAAAGGAAATAATGGATTCTCACTAAGTATTGTTATCTCTAGCACTGAACGAGCCAACTATTGACTACGGCTTCCAGAGACTTCAAAAGCTGATCCCTCGCCATCCTGGTGATCCCGACAGATTGGCAAAGGTTAGTAAATACTGACAAACATGGTAACACTTTACAATACGGGTGCACTAATATACATTAATTTATGCTTAACTAATGCACAGATAATACTGAGTTAATGTATAACTAATGAAGAATTAATGTATAACCATTAATTAATGATTACTGCATCAGCAACTAATAAAGAGTCTATATGATTAATAGATTAAGTATTACATGAATTGCTATTAATTCAATGTGTCATTGTGTATTAATTCCTTAATAACATATTTTATGAACTAATAGTGTAAATGAATGTGTTAATTACCACATTTAGTCAACTTCCACTTGTCTGCTTTAATTAATCATTAGCTAATGATTTGCAAAGGTATCATTATGTTATGACTTTACTTGTTGGGGCACATCATTATTAACTAGTCATTTAGTAATTTGTACATGAATTTGCACTAACAATGAAGTAGTTAATGCATATTAGTGTGCCTGTCATATTATCTGGAAGTTGAAATACAAGGCTTTGGCTCATTCTGGTAATTAACATATTAATTAACACTATTACTTAAAAAATGAGTTATTGTGGAATTAATCCACAATTACATATTTAATTAATAACAATTCATGTATGAACTAATACATTAAACCTACAGACTCTTAATCCGTTCCTAATGTGGTAATCATTAATGAATAGCTTAGATAATCATTAGTTACACATTAATTCAGTGTTATTTGTGCATTAGTAAAGAATGAATTAATGCTTATTAGTGCACCCATATTGTAAAGTGTTACCACAAACATATATAACCGTTAACTCAAACACAGAAGTACACACCAACAGACCCACAGATATGTCATATTTATCTACTCTCTCTGGAACTGATTTTCTATATTTTAGGAAATGTTACTTAAAAGAGCAGCAGATGTTGTTGAGTCACTCTATGGAAATTCCACCAGCAATCAGGTAACCGCTGAATTGCAGTAAATATAAGAATACTGTCTGTGGCATGGAAACAAACACTGAGTGCTTTGAACACATACATTGGGGTCCAAATGCTTAGATCACTAGTGAAACTGCTTTCAAATCACATTATCAGCATAACGATCTGGGTAAAAATGGAACGGAAATTTCAGAAATCCATCAATATTGTGTCAAGATCCATAGTATCTAGCATGGTTTGATGTGTACTTCAATGGAAGTATGGAAATCTGGTTAATGTAACAAATCAGCTTATTTAAATTGTGAAGATTTGAATCCAATGTGGCTTTTCCAACATTCATAATACGCATATCAACAACAACAAATTAATGTTTTTACAAAATGCCTTTTCAACTCATACAAACATCATTTTGTCCTCTTTTCTTCAGTATTTCAAGTGGGTACCATCAGGGTATAAATACAAAGGAACATTAAATATAAAACCTCCGCAATTAAAAATAAAATACATTTTTTTTAAAAATCTAACAGCATTTCCACTCCATCTGTCTTTAGTGATCAACAAAAAAAATCACAAAAAAATGGTTTTGTATCATAATCCAACCTAGTGGGGTCAGTGTTTGCAGAATAGAAATATAATACAAATATAGTAAGTCTTTATACAACCGAAATTTTTACAAAGATGTAAATATAATAACAGAATTAGTGATTACAGTAGTTAAAATTCTGCAGCTGTAGCAATATCAGTGTCATTATTCAACTCAATTCAGTAACTGTGTACAATGAAACATGAGATGTTTATGATGTTCCCTCTCTAACATGATGTGTGAAGACGCAGAATCATTTACTTCCTTAAAATATGCAGTAACAAGGCCGTGTTGGTCCAGATTTGTAATGCAGCCTCTGTGCTGAGCAATCTTTGTTTTTAAAGAGCTTTGGGGGCAGTTTTTATTCAAATAAATATTTTATTTGTGTTTGTTTGACCTGATGAAGACCCTTTTCAGGTCGGTTAATTGGAACTGTTGGCAGTCTTAGACCACACTGTATGTGGTCACTGAATGCATGCTGAATTGATTTGTCTGTCTCCTGTTCATATCAAGAGAAATTAAAGGGATAGTTCACATTGAAATTAATTTTAGCTTACCTCAAGGGCATCCAAGATGTAGGTGTCAGTAGTTTAAATTTTGATATTTTTAGGTCAAACCGGTCATATAATGGAGGTCTATGGTCACCACCTCAAAGAGCATGCACAGAGAAGTCCAAATTAAACATGATTTAATGACTCGTAAATGTAAGTACACATTGATGGCCTAAGACACGAAACGGGCGGTTTGTGTGAGAAAACGAACAGTATTTATATTGTTTTTACGTCTTGTAATCACAGCTACGTCCCAGTGATCTGAGGGCGCGGGCGCTTTGTCTGTGATATTAACTATATAAATACTCTTCGTTTTCTCACACAAACCGCTCGTTCCGTGTCTTAGGCCATCAATGTGTACTTACATTTACGAGTCATTAAATCATGTTTAATTAGGACTTCTCTGTGCCTGCTCTTTGAGGTGGTGACCATAGACCTCCATTATATGACTGACAGACAAGAACGGTTTGACCAAAAAATATCAAAATTGAAACAAAGACACCTACATCTTGGATGCCCTTGAGGTAAGATAAAACATGCCAAAAAATAATTTCAAAGTGAACTATCCCTTTAAGTGATGTCATCCTGTCGTGTATTGGCGTCAATCAAAACTTGTCTTTGATATTGTGCTGTTGCAGGACATGTTGCTGAAACGGGCTGCAGATATAGCCGAGGCTCTTTACAGCGTGCCTCGACCTCACAGTCAGCTGCAGGCCATGCCGAGCTCCCCTGTCCACGGCAGTGTCATGGGGCTCAACTCTTATCCCACACAGCTGGGTGTAAGCATTGGGGAACACGGGCAAACCAGTAGCCAAGGTAAGGATCTGAAGACATTTAGTGTTATAGAGGACCTAGATGTCAATAACCCTCATCTCAGCACATTTATAAAGCACTGACATGTTTTTGTTGGCCAACCCAGAAGTTAGGATCACACTGGATACCTCAACAAAAACCCAATAGGATTTGTCTCGTTAACCCTCAGGTGCTCTTCGTTTCGGAGTCACACTTGTTATCTTCCCGGTCAAAAGTGACCGGACACCTAAAAATTACATTTCCTCCATCCCAGTAAAACCAATGCAATTTATTTTTGTTCTATAATATTTATTCTTTGTAATTTAGTATTTTGAGACAATTTGATTGAATTTATTCATATTTATGGTCAATTTTTTTTTTGCCATGGAAAAATGTATATATTTATATATATATATATATATATATATATATTTATTTATTTATTTTTTTCAAAAAAATATTAATGCAGTATTTTAGTTTAATATAGAGTCTAGGCCTCTAGGCCTATCTCAAAAAAATCAATGAGAATTTGTTTATGCGCAGTACCAAACATCTCCACTAGATGAAATTAGCTTCACATTCATTTACAAAGTGACCACAAACAAATAAGTGTGACTTTTTTTTAAGGCCCATTTAAACTTTTGGAGTCATGTCTGATTTGTGTGTGTGTGTGTTCACATAGAATCTTATATGAACCATTCCGATGAAGTAATATATATATATATATATATATATATATATATATATATATATTTATAAAAATGTAAAAGCGCACCAAAGGTTTAAAAGCATTTTGTAAGAGCTTGATTATTGTTTTGTTGCTGATTAATTGAGTAAAGTATTATGATTTCTCTCTCTTTTATTCAAGGATACAGTCGCAGTTTGTCTCCACGTGGCTACCCATCAGCCTCGACCCCTCAGCAGTCAGGTTATGGGTCCAACGGGGGCATGAGTTACGGGGCAGTGCCCATGAGCAGTCTGGGTGTTTCAGGGTCACCTGGCTTTAACAGTGCCTCCCCAAACAGCTCTCCTTATGCTAGTGAGTTTTAGCTTCCTTCTTTTTAATAATTTTTACTTGAAATATACAGTGAATTTAGACCATCAGATGAAATGTTGGTATAATTGAAGCATCCTTTTTTTTCAGTAATGCCATCTAGCCCCACTGTACCCGGCTCCAGTTCCTCATCCTCCCTCTTGCCCTTCTCATCTTTCCCATCGTCTACCAAACAAAAAAGTGCCTTTGCTCCAGTCCTGAGACCGCAGGGTTCACCGTCACCCGTTTGCCAAACTTCAGGAGGCACCAGCTTTAGAGGTAAACTGTAACTACTACAGCTGTGAAACCAAATGAACAGATCTGCTTTTAGCTTTTAAATATTTTTTTCTCCCAAGATACACTCTTAAAAATAAAGGTTATACTCTGTACCCCTCTCTGAAGTAGGAGTTAATTTAGCCCCTCCAAAAGGAGTAAAATAGTTCCCAGTTTCTCACCCCCATGTCATCCAAGATGTCCACGTCTTTCTTTCTTTCAGTCGAAAAGAAATTAAAGGTTTTTGATGTAAACATTCCAGGATTTTTCTCCACATAATGGACTTCATTGGGAACCAAACGGTTCAAGGTCCAAAAGACAGTCTTATCAAGTGAAACGATCTCTCATTTAAGAATAAATAACAAAGTTTAAGTTTTATAAGCTCAAATGCTCGCCTTGCTCTGTTCATTTGTGACTCTCCTGTTCTAACTTGTTCATCAAAATGAACAAATCTTTTTTTCTTGTCATTTGGTTCATTCAACGAACGAAATGAACGAATTGACTCGGGGAAAAGATTGAACGCTGGAGCAAGCTGTTAGTAAATCTGGCCCTAAATGTCATATATAAGTTTAAAATGCTATCTTTCAAAAGTAACGTATTTCTTGCTACCACTACCAGTGTACAGGAACTGTGCAGGCATAGCATGCATGTCACTGCCATATGGAATAACTTCTTCTTTTTTTTCTTTTTTTAATTTCCAGCAATGACAGGCCTCGTGGTTCCTCCGATGTAGAGGACGAGTCTCTTCCAGTCCTACGCTTTGCAGCCAGTGGCCAGAACTAAACCGACACCGATGTTGTCTCCTTCAAGCCACACTGAACAACAGCTGTCATGAGGAAGTAAAGACAACAAGGACGTATTTAAAACACTTTTCGGGAACCTTCTTGAGAGATATCCACTCTATGCACACGTTTTGCCTCTGATTGTGAAGGGGTGGTGTTACTTAAAGGTTCTTCCAGCCACAAAATGCCAAAAGAGCTATAATCTGAGAACACGAGACTACACATTTCTAGCCGTGCGCTCTCATCAGACACACCGGTCAGTAGACTTCCACCGCAGTAGATGTCAGTACGGGATGCCAATTGTGTCAAAACTCAGTCTTTTTTTGAATATACTGATAGATACACATCCCTAAGCTGAAATTGTGTTTTTAAAAGTATATATATTTATCAGGATTTTCATTTAGAGAAACTGAAAGTGTTTATTTAGGTTTAGGTTTATGAACTGATTACCTCATATATTGACTTATTTAATGACAAAAACTATATAAGTTATATTTTTTAGGTTAAGTACTAATATAAGGAACCATGATTGTATTTGTTATTATTTGGTATTGTTATTTTGTGAACATTTGAATAGGTTGTCATATTAAAATAGTGACTGTAGATTTTTACATGTAAATGTTTTGTTGTTAAATATATAGATGATATTTTAATTCTTTTCCAATTTATTTATAAACATGTTTTCACATTTGTATCCCTTTCAAAATATTTCTGACGTGCACTAAAATAACAAATTTACTCATGGCATTATTTCTCTTCCACACGACCAGTCGCTCCTTTCTATTTATTCCTTTTAGTAATCATTAAAGATTTTATTTTTTCAATTTTTATGTTTTTCCAAACAAACCAAAGGCAGGGTTGTAATTATGGATGTTTTTTTTTAAATAGACATATTAATCTGTGTTGTCAGGTGAAATATTTTATGTTGCTGCCTACACTCTCAGAAAAAAAAGTATGAAAGCTGTCACTGGGGCTGTACCTTTTCAAAAGGTACACTTTTGTCCATTTTAGGTGCTGATATGTACATTTTAGGTGTTAATATGTACAGTTTAGGTGCTAATATTTACATTTTAGGTGTTAATATGTACATTTTAGGTGCTAATATGTACATTTTAGGTCCTAATATGTACATTCTGGGTGCTGATATGTACATTTTAGGTGCTAATATGTATATTTTAGGTACTAGTATGTACAATTAAGGTACAAAAGTGTACCTTTTGAAAATCTAATAAGTACATTCTAGGTGATAATATGTACATTTTAGGTGCTAATACGTACATTTTAGGTGCTAATACGTACATTTTAGGTGCTAATATGTACATTTTAGGGGTTAATGTGTACATTCTGGGTGCTAATATGTACATTTTAAATGCTAATATGTATATTTTAGGTACTAGTATGTACAATTAAGGTACAAAAGTGTACCTTTTGAAAATCTAATAAGTACATTCTAGGTGATAATATGTACATTTTAGGTGCTAATACGTACATTTTAGGTGCTAATATGTACATTTTAGGTGTTAATATGTACATGTTAGGGCCTAATATTTACATTCTATGTGCTAATATGTACATTTTGGGTGTTAATATGTACATTCTAGGTGCTAATATGTACATTTTAGGTGCTAATATGTACATTCTAGGTTCTAATATGTACATTTTAGGTGTTAATATGTACATGTTAGGTCCTAATATGTACATTCTGGGTGCTGATATGTACATTTTAGGTGCTAATATGTACATTTTAGGGGTTAATGTGTACATTCTGGGTGCTAATATGTACATTTTAAGTGCTAATATGTATATTTTAGGTACTAGTATGTACCATTAAGGTACAAAAGTGTACCTTTTGAAAAGGAACATCCCCAGTGACAGCTTTTGTACCTTATTTTCTGAGAGTGTATAAAACTGATACATTGCTCTTCTCTTTTCCTTCATTCTTCCTCAATGAGTTTTGTCATTATCATTGGTAAACAGGATTATTTTGACCACCAAATTAATGTTATGCATGAAAAGATCATCTGTTTAATTAGTGCAATGAACAAATTAGTATGTGCGCTTATATTCTACCCGAATTCACATTTTTGATAAAAAATAGTCACCAAACAGTGAATATGATCCAATTATTTTAGATGCAAAAAGTACATTTGTAATGCTTTTTTAAATTCTCATCAACAGTGAGTAAAAATGGCGATTTGAATAAATACAGATATGTTGAGTTAATCTCAGTAATTCATGGCCAACATCCTGCATAAATACATAATATGTAAAATGCATGTATGCATTCGTTAAGTTCTTCTGTGATACTGAGCTTTAGGACAAAGAGGGTTAAATGGGGGTAAAGGTTTGGGCCATGGATTTGGAGGATAAAGCTTTTTTTTTTTTTTTTTTTTTTTTTTTTAGCTCAAGGCCGTTTGCCACATTTTGACAAATCCTTTTTGAGGTACATTATAACTCTTCCAGATTCACGCCTCCTCTCGGAGTCCCCTGGGTGTCAATGGCAGATGGAATACACAGAAAGAGTCCCTTGTGTGTTTCTCCAAACATAACTGAACGTCTCTCTCACGCACACTTGCATTCAGTACATCTAAGCCACATGTCCACTTTCACATAGATTTGTTGTGCATGCACTGCGCATAAGATATTTCATATACTCGCATGCTTCCAAAGACTGTCTGAACTTGTGACATCAAGAAACCAATCATTTATAATAGCCTATACCAAAACGTTTTTGTTTGTTTGTTTGTTTTTTTAGCCCTACTTGCTATATGTAGGCCTATTACTGAAAAAAAAAAAAACTGGTCACCATGATCAAATATCAAGTGAATAGTGCACTGTAAAAAAATATTGTTGGTTTAACTTAAAAAAAAAAGTAAGTAACCTTGTTGCCTTAAAATTTTAAGTTCATTTAAATGGAAAAATTGAGTTAATACAATGAAGAAGATTGATTTAATCATCAGAAACTCAAAATATTATGTTATCATAACTACATAAATTACTCAAGTTGATTTGACAAAAGAAAAAATATTGTGATTACAAATCATGAACACATTTTTTACAGTGTATGATAGGATTTATTTAATTGTATCTCAATTTTCTCATTCTGTCTTTTATCTACTATCCACCTTATTTTTCACAGCCGTTTGTAAATTGACCTGTTTCCGCTGTCATCTGCTTCCATAGGTTTAACAAAACAGCTGTAAAAAAATTTGTTCATGATTTGTAATCACAAAATTTTTTCTTTTGTCAAATCAATTTAAATAATTAATGTGTTTCAGATAACATAATATTTTGAGTTTCTGATGATTAAATCAATCTCCTTCATTGCATTAACTCATTTTTTCCATTTCAATGAATTTAAAATTTTAAGGCAACCAGGTTACTTTATTTTTTAAGTTAAACCAACAATATTTTTTAAAGTGCATTTTATTCTTACCATATTATTTGAAGGTATTGTTTTAATTATAACACGCTGGTTTGTGGCGCAAATAGTTTAGCTTCCGAAATTAAAAAAAATAAGGTGAGACTGTAGCCTACACAATTAAATAAATAATTAGGCCTACCATACACTGTAAAAAATACTGTTGGTTTAACTTAAAAAAGTAACCAGGTTGCCTTAAAATGTAGGAGAAGAATTTAATCATCAGAAACTCAAAATTATATGTTATCTGAACTAAATAAATTATTATTAGTTGATTTGACAAAAATGTTGTGGTCACTGTGGTCAAAATTTTTTTTTTTCATGATTACAACATTTTTTCTTTTGTCAAATCAACTTAAATAATTTATTTAGTTCAGATAACATAATATTTTTAGTTTCTGATTATGAAATCAATCTCCTTCATTGTAGTAACTCACTTTTTCCATTTCAATGAACTTAAAATTTGAAGGCAACCAGGTTACTTATTTTTTTAAGTTAAACCAACAATGTTTTTTACAGTGTATAGCAGTTAAAATATAATATCTGTCAAAACCCAAAACATAACACAACCATAACCACAACATGCAGTATAGCCTAACTGCTGTCAACAAACTGTAAACTCTAGTCTATAGTGAAAGAAGATGGAGACAGAAACAAACACACACACAGAAAGCTAGGAATTATGTCTGAATATAATACATATAGGATACAAAAAAAAAATAATAAATAGTGCACAATGTCACATATCTGAAATATAAGACAAGTTTAAAGAGTTCAATTTAGGTGAATGTCTTAATTATGCTGAGACGGTTGCTGGTTGAATGACAAATTAAACAAATCTGACAGATGGACAGCACACAATACCCAGCAGTGGGGTGGGGGGCTAATTGTGTTGGAGTCAGTTGGGTCATCAATCACCCTGCGCTGTAAAGCAGCCTTCAGTCTATGGCACTGATGTAAAAGCATGCTTGATGTCATGTAATATCATTAGCTATATGTTTAATTCACCATTCACAACCTTTGCGTGACAGAAGAGGAAGATGGCACTTTGAAAGTGATTGTTGGTCTCAGATTTGAAAATAGCTGCCTAAAAGGTCTAGCGCTGGACATCAGAGGCTCATGCTTAGGTAATCTCATATCTGTCATTCATGTTTTCCATTTATATCACTGAAAATATTGTAGAGGATTCCATCAATAAAAACCAAACCTGCTATAGTTTAAATGTATGTGTGATTAAATATGCAAAGCCATATAGGCTATGATGGTTATTCATTAATAGGGTTGCGGATGTTCTCTCTCATGCATTAATTACATCTGCATTAGCATATCAATTAGATGAATCAGAGATCATGTAATTAAAGCCCAAGTAGGAGCACCTGCTGCCTCTGTTTATGTTTGTGATATCATGCTTTTGGCTGAGCGTACACTTGTCAATCAATTGCCTTCTTTATTCTGTTTGCCTCTGATGGAATGTTTCACATTTAGATATTTCACGAACATTTCCTTTTTTTTATTTTTTAAGTAAGAAATCAATTAAATCACATTAAGATAAATAGCCTAATAATAAATAGCCATAATTTTGTTCATTTACACAGTTTGCAACATCGTTTCACAAAAGAACACATCTTAATTAGAGGAAGTGTTTTCCACACAAATAATAAAACCTAAAACACATGTTAGCTCTTGAACAGCAGTCCTTTTTCTCAAACTACTCATGGCTTTTGAGATGGGTCCATCTGCTGGCCACATGATTGCTTGCAGTTTCAGTTAGGCCTACATAACAACTTCAGAACTACATTTTATACTCCATGAATCTTTAAACATTAATGTGTCAACGAATCCCTCATTAACAGACACATATCTCATGTTTGATGCTCAACATGATACAGTCAAAATTTACAACTATTTACACACACTAAATATAGGTGTAGTCTATAAAATTTTTCGAAATTTTGTTCGACTTGATGCAGCGCTGACTCCACGTGACTGTGATGTATGCCATCAAAGTACCGCGAGAGCGATACGAGAGTAGCCGGAGGACTCAGCCAGCGCAGCTTCTCAAGAGCGGCTGCACGAGCTCTGATGATGTCACAGCTGTTCCACAATTCGCCGGATCCACCCAATATCCACCGCATGACAACGATCACGTGCGTTTCGTGTTTATTCTCACACCTTTAGTTCCACTAAAGCTCACAAATCAGTATTTTATAACAGTAAACACTCTTTTCATGTAGTCGCAATTTTATTGTGTCATGTTTATCATGTTTATCAAAATAAAACTGATTAAAAAACGTTGACTCCACTTCATATAGGCTTATTTTGAACTTTATTCTAGTTCAAAAGTATTGAATGAAAATGTGTCTGAAATATCTGTTTATTTGGCAAATGTTGCATTTATTTCAC